ACGCGGGATAGTTTCCTCCAGGACGTGCTTGCTTGTCGACTATTTGCCATAGGGGAATGCGGCGAGGCGTTGGGAGCTCCTATGCGTATTCCCAGTCCGACCAATCAGAGGAGGAAAGAGTATGCGGGACGCTAGAGCGGTTCAGAGGGGCCGTCTCCCCCTGAAATGCGCTCGGTGTGAGGCTCAATCGCGCTGGATCTCATCGATCACCGCGGATCCAACTGTCAGGCACGCTCTCGCCCGAGAGAGCACCGGGTATCTAACGATACGCACCCTTCCACTTGCATCTTCAGCTTGTTGAAAACGTTGTTAATTGCTCGCGCATTCCAGCAACTTCGTGGAACACCAACAACGCTTGCTAAAGTGCATGAGCTGTTCAATGATGAACAGGCAGGAAATTTATAATAAATTCATTGTAATGGCTGTTTCTGCGATTGCGACCAATTGCGCCAACTTTCCTATTCAATAGAACATGGTAACTTTTGTATTTAGCATGCGGTGGTTGTGGTCGAGGGTTCGAAACGTGAATGGTTCGTTCCAATATTGTCTATCGTAGATAAGGTGGTATTTTCTGTATCCTAAAAATGTTAAAGCGAGAACTGGTCCCCACAACATATTATTACCTGCGTTATACTGGGCGAAGCTGTGCTTTTCTACCTAAACGCATCTGAACTTGTCCCGGTCTTCTAGTCGTAAAAACACATGCATCATAAGAATTCTATGCTGACGGGGACCAATTCTCACTCATGACTATGAAGAACGTTCGCTAAAATCCTCCAGCAGGATGATAGTTCTGCTTTTCAGGATCTTCTCCACTTAAATGCACTAGTCATGGTTAAAGCCAGCGGAATGTTCAAAAATGTGCCAACAGCAATTGTTGGCGTCCTACCCGACACAACGGATTCGAGCGCTCTCGGGCATAAGCTCGACAAACCGCCTAAGGAGACTTTTGAGGCATATTTGGAACGAAAGCATGAATAAGTCATGAAGACAAATCCACTGACGTTCAGGATATTGGCGGCTTGGAGGGGCCAATCCAAGAGATGAAAGAATCCGTAGAACTTCCATTAACTCATCCCGAATACTATGAAGAAATGGGCAT